GCTCGGAGGCCGAGCGCACCTTCCTGCACATGGGCCGCACCATGAAGGAGGACCTGGAGGCCGTGGTGCAGCGCCTCAAGCCGCTCTTCCCCGCCGAGTTCCACGTGGTGGCGGCCTACGCCGAGAGCTACCACCAGCACTTCGCCGCCCACATGGCCGCCATGGCGAAGCTTCAGCTGGACAAGCGGGACACCTACATGCTGCTGCTCTGGGTGCAGAACCTCTACCCCAAGTGAGCACGGGTGGACTGGCTGCGCGCGGGTGACCACACTGCCTGAACCCTCTTCAAGGGACTGGGATCAAAGGGAGGGGCTGGAGTAAAGGGATTGGGCCTGGCAAAAAAGCCTAGGTCTGAAAGTGGGTGGGCACATGGTCTCATGAGGGAACGTCACTTGAAGGTGGTCTGAGTAGAGGTCCTTGGGACTGAGAACACAGGAGGCGGGGCAAAGGCTCCAAGGGTGGGGTTTGGGCACGCTAGGCAGGATCTGAGTTGGACCTGGATAGGAGCAAGGCCTGCGCTAATTCACTTTCCATTTGAGATCTTTAATTAACTACAGGAAGGTGCTAACCGTATTACGAGCTGGGGAGACTGAGGCACAGAGCATGGCAGGGGCTTTGCCACTCGTTTATTCAATTAGTGCTTTCTGTACTCTCAGCCTGGGCATGGGGTGAGACAGACAGAGGAGACAAGGGCCCGGAAAAGCCCAAAGCTGGGGGGTCATGAGAGAAGCCTGCCTCACCCAGGGGCAATCAGTCTAATGGGTGAGAAGAGCCAGGAGGGAGAGGGAAGGGCAGTCCAGGAGGATGCTGGACAAAGGCCTGGACAAGGGTCTGTGGCTGAGCCACGGGACATTCTGGGAGCTGTGCGGAGCTTGTCAGTGGGGCATTCTCAGGAAGAAGTAGCAGGTGGGCAGGTCAGGTGGTCTGTTTGCAAGACCCCTGCCTCACAGGGTGGTCCCAGCTGAAACTGCTCACGTGCTCATGGAGGCTCCGGGGACCCCAGCCCATAGATCTCATGGCGTTCCTGCTAATTTCACAGGCCCCTGGGGGGGGGGCAGGGAGGAGGGACATGGACTCTTTGGAAATGGCCAGCCCTCATGGGCCCAGTTCTTACTGCAGGGCCTAGTCTCCAAGTGTGGAGTTGGGATGAAGGGAGTCTGGGTGGTAGCCAATCAACAGTGTCTGAGAGTTTCGGGCACGTTGGTGAACAAGGCTCGGGTGAGCTAGCAAATACCATGGGTTCAGTTGATCCTGATGGTCATTCCTGAATGACCAAGGAGGGTACAGTGGAGGTAGGAGCTGGACAGTCAATGTGGCAGAGGAAATCCTTCCCGGACAGGGGTTTGGGGCATGGCCCAGCCCTAGGCGAGTTCCTTCTTGCTTGTGACTCACCAGGAAGTGCTGGCACTGGGTCTCCTGCTTTCCTGTCCCTGTGACCTCAGGATCCCAGCCCAACGCCAGTGGTTTTAGCTAGACAGGGACCCTGGAGAAGGCAGTGTTCCAGGAACATAATCCAGACAACATGGCCAGGATGTGGGGAGCAGACAGACATGGCTTTGGCCAGGGGACCAGAGAGCCTGCAGGCAGACACAGGGCCCTGAGGCAGTGCCAGGCTGAGCAGGTGCCCCAGGAACTCTGGGACCCCACAGAGGTCACTTCCTGCCAAACTGGCCACATTCTGGGTTAGGGTGCAGGGAGCAGGAACTGGAGCACAGTGCTGGGGTGGTGGGAGCTAGGAGGGAGGGCAGGACCCTGGCTTCAGAGGCCTTGAGGAGGAGTCAGGCTTTATCTACAGGAGAGAGGGAGTTGATGGGAGTAGGGGTTAGACCTGCATTATCAAAGGAGGCCTTGGGCCAATGGGTGGAGATGGCGTCACTGAGGGTCAGAGCTGGGGCAGGGAGACCCGAGAGGGGAAGAGGTGATGGATTTTGGAGACTTTGGGGGGAAGACTGGATGGGGCGAGGATAGGAGGCAGAGGATGCTCTCAGGCTTTCCTGAGCCAGGCTGAGTGGTTGGGGAAGTCGGGTCAGGGATGGGGTCAAGCCCTGGGCCTGTGGGATGGGGACTTTTCCATTATGGGCTTTGGTGTGACGGAAGGTGCAGCGTGATGCAGTCCCTCACAGAGTCCCTTTGCCCACAGTGACATCATCAATAGCCCCAACTTGGCGGGTGAACTGCAAGGGGTCAAGCTGGGGAGCCTCCTTCCCCCAAGGCAGATCCGGCTGCTGGAGGCCACATTCCTGTCCAATGAGTTGGTGAGTTCAGGGTGGAGCTGGGGCAGGAGCAGCGGGCAGGGGACAGACTGTAGGATGGACTGAGAGGGTTGGCAGGGTGCATCTGGGACATGGGACCCAGAAGCTGAGCCCCAGCAGCAGAACGTCCTTGGTCTCTGTGGGAACCCCTCTGTGGGGACCGCTCTGGAGCTTGGCATGTTTGGGCCAGAGGAGAGAGACCACTACAGATGTTGTGCAGGGAAGTGGCTCAGTGCTGCCTGGGGGAGGTCAGCCCCTGACTGGTCGGTTCCCCTCCCAGACCAGTGTGAAGGAGCTGATGGCCCGGGCCCTGGAGCTGGAGTCGCAGCACTGGGCCCAGGATGTGCCACCACAGATTCTGAATGGCCACTGTCACAGCGAACTCGCCATCGATGTTATACAGGTACCAGTTCTTCTCCTGTGCACAGGTGTAGTCAAAGCCCACACCGGTGCAGTGAGTGTGAGGTGTCGTGACCCCATCACTCCTAAACCTGAGTCCTGAACCCCTCCAGTGTCACCCCTGCCCACCACCCACCCCCACCCTAGTCCTGCCCCACCCAGCTCACCCGTTTGTCCCCACAGATTGTCTCCCAGGGCCAGGCTAAAGCTGAGAACATTTCTGCTGAACTTGGGGGGCAGATGAGGCAGTTGTTGCTGGTGGAGCTGGCTGCATTCCTCAGGAGGTGGGTGTGGGTGTGGGTGTGGGGTCTCTGCAGCCTGGACCTCTGTTAGTGCCCCAGGTGGGGATCTTCCAATATATCAGCCCTTATCTTCCTGCTCCATGGTGGTGGGCTATCTGTCTGGGCAAGAGTCCTTCCTCCCTGCCCAGTCCCCTCCTGGTTCTCTGCCACTCAAGTGACCATCCACCACTGCCCCCTGTCTCCCCTCACCCCTCACTCAGGTTCCCCATGAGCTGCCTTGCTCTGGGAATGAGGCTCTCATCCTCCTTCTGACACTATTTCACTCCGAGGTCCTTCCCTTTGTAACCTGCAGGACTCCTGAAGCCCTCTCTTCCCCACAGTGTCCAACTGGGAGGGACTGGGGGCTGGTGGTCCACCTGCAGGAGCCCTGAGTCCCCGGGTCTGCACTGTGGGGAGTGAACAGAACAGAACAGGGCAGCTGGGGGATCCCGACACTGGGTTGGCCCCATCCTGAGCGGGCTTCTGCTGGTTTTCCCAGCTACCAGAGCACCTTTGCTGAGTTTCTTGAGAGGGGCAGACAGAAGAGAAACTACAGGGACAATGTCATTGCCAACATCAACAACTGCCTGTCCTTCCGGTGAGGCTGGTGAAGGGCCTGGAAGTGTCAGGATGGAAGAGGAAAGGGTCTCAGGGAGGTAGGGGTACAGGGTGGGGACAGATTGGAGAACAGGAATGAGTCTGGAGCAGGGGCTGGGGTGTCCTCTGGACCTCATCTGATCCCCTAACAACCTACAAGGTGGGCAGTTAATGACATTAGCAAACTGATGCAGGAGTGGCTGAGCTGGGGGGCAGGGTGGGCACTGCCTGGGGTAGAGGCAGGCATGAGAGGCCCTGGACCTGAGCCCCAGGGCGTGGGAGCCTTTAAGGTTCTAGAGTGGGGGCATGGTTTAGGAGTTTCATCCGGGGCTGGCTGGGTCCCTGGGTGTGGGCTGGTGTGACCTTCCTGCTCCACCTGCCAGGACGTCCATGGTGCAGAGGTGGCAGAGCCTACAGGACACCCACAGCCACATGCTACGCCCCCTGGACGAGCTCAAGACCCGCGGCTTTGATGTCCTGCTCCAGAGCCTGTTCTTAAACTTGAAGGTAGGAGCGTCTTGCCCTTTTGGCAGGGTTGGGTCGGTGTCCAGGGGGAGGAATGGTGGGAGCTGAAGGGGAGGCTGGCTCCAGGCTGTGGGGAGGGGGGATGCTGGGCATGGGAGCCATGGAACGTTCTTGGCCCCAGTGCTGCTGTGGGCTGAATGACAAGGAGCATGGAAGTCATGGAAGGTTCTTGACCCCAGTCCTGCTGTGGACTGAGTGAGCTGGTCCAGGTCTGGAGCCGTCACTGGGCCTGGGAGCCATGAAAGGTTCTTGACCCCAGGCCTGCCTTGGGCTGAGTGAGCTGGTCCAGGTCTGGAGACGTCACTGGGCCTGGGAGCTATGGAAGATTCTTGACCCCAGCCCTGCTGTGGGCTGAGTGAGCTGGTCCAGGTCTGGAGCCGTCACTGGGCCTGGGAGCTATGGAAGGTTCTTGATGCCTCCTAGCTCTGTGCTGAGTACGCTGGCCCACGTCAAGTGGGCAGAGGGCTTGGGTTTCTGTTGGAGTTTCCTTGCCTTTCCCCTCAAGTTTCACACATTCCCTCCACTACCCCGGCCCACCTGCTGCCCCTGGCCTGCCAGCACCCCACCCAGTGTCCCTAGCTGCTGCCGACACTGCTGCTATGGGCCATGAGTTGGCAGAGCACCTCCAGTCTTAGGCAGAGGAGTGGGGTGGGGTCTCCTAAAGGAAGAGGATGGGGTTCATTGCCCACCCTGGCTGGGCCCCATTTGTGCCCTGTATCTCGTCAGTGGTGGAGGCCCAAGTGGTGACCTTGGGTGACTTGGCAGTGGCTTTCGAAGGCCCAGCCAAGCATAAGGACTTGTTTATGCAGGAATTTATTTGTGAGGAGGAGGCCTGGCAAGGGCGTGCAGGAGGCTGTCTGCACTTCTCTCCAGCTGGGGAACTTGGAGAAATGTACACAAAATCCGCCCCCACTTCCTGTCTGGGAACTTGGATTTGCATTCCCGTTGGAGTCCTCGGTCCCCTGGGGTTCCTCCATCACTCACCCCTGTTGCAAGAGGGATCTGTGCCTGTGGCTGTGTTTGTGCGTCTGTGGGCGGTGGCCCCAACTGGCCAGCTCTCATATCCTGCTTCTCCCTCATACAGCCGCTGTTCAAGAGGTTCACACAGACCCGCTGGGCAGCCCCCGCGGGCATCCTGGAGGAAATCCTCACCGTGGTGGCCCAGAGGCTGCCTGAGTTCTTAGGACTGCAGGAGTGTCTCCTGGAGGTGAGGGGTATGGCTGGGGGTTGGGCAGCAGGGGGCAGATTACACACACACACACACACACACACACACACACACACACACACACACGCACGCACGCTCTGGCACCCTTCTCCCTGGACTCTTATCTTGGGTTTTGAGGCGCTGAGGCTGGAGGTAGTGAGCTCCCCGTCTGCACTGGCTCACACCACCCTGTCTGACCCCCAGGAGCTCGTGGGGGTCGTGCACCTTCACCTGGTGAAGGAGTACATCATCCGTCTGAGCAAGCGACGCCTGGTCCTCAAGACCCCAGAGCAGCAGCAGCTCCTGGCACAACACGTCCTCAACAATGCCGACCACATTCAGAGCTTCTGTGCTGAGAAAGTAAGCTGCCCGCTCGCCCCGCCCACCCTCCCACCCACGCAGGCTCCAGGACAGCCCCTGGGGGAGGGGCAGCATCCCCACAACAAGACCTGTGTCCACAGGGCTCCAAGGCAACCTGGCTGGACCCTGCCCTCCCCAAGCTGGCTGAGATCATCCGCCTGCAAGACCCCAGCGCCATCAAGATTGAGGTGGCCACTTATGCGACCTTGTTCCCCGACTTCAGGTGAGGAGGGGAGCACGGTTAGGTCTAAGCAGCCAGCGGGGTCCTGATAGATGCCACATTTGTGGTCATTCGCCTGGAGGGGCAGAAGCAGTGGACTTCAGGCTCAGGGAGTTCAGATACTGGCTCTGATGATGCTGCCGTCAGGGATTTGTTCATTCTGTCCTCACTTCAGGGCTCAGGACCCTGAGAGGCCAGCACTCCCTGTACTCATGTTAGATAACTCCTGGTGTGTGGCCAAGGTGACACAGCTAGTCAGTGGTAGATTTGAGATTTCCAAGCCTGGTAGTCTTAGCTTCTCCAAAAGGGAATATAAACATATGAGAGACCAGGGACCAGCTAGAGGACATGGCATGCGCGTGGTGATGCCAGCACCCATTACTCTGCCCAAGACTTCCTGGATCCACATGCCCTGAGTCTTGGGGTGATCTCTGCTCTAGAGTGGAGATTCAGCTTCTAGATGTCTGAGGACCTGATGAGCCAGGGACTTTTTTCCCCTTTTTAGGCTGTGTAGGGATTCACTAGGGAACATTTACACAGGTATTGAGTTGGGTTAACCCAGTTTAGCCTACCCTAGCTCCTGACTCATTCATTTACTTATCTACTGGCCTGGACAAATACACACACTCACTTGTTTATCCATCTATCCATCCAACCACTCACCTGTTCATCCATCAGTCTGTCCACCCATCAATCTACCTACTTGTTCATACATCTTTCCATTCACCTACCACCCATCTAGTCATCCGTCCATCCATCCATGTGTCCTGTAACCATCTGTCCATCATTCCATCAGTTCATCCTTTCACCTGTCTATCCATCCATCTACTAACGTCCACTCATCCACCCAGTCATCTGTTTATCCATTCATCCATTGATGTATCCATCCACCTACCCACCCACTCATGTCCATCCATCCATCCATCCATCCATCCATCCAGTCATCTGTTTTCTGTCCATCTATCCATCCATCCATCCATCCATCCATCCATCCACTCACTTATCCATCCATCCATCCATCCATCCATCTTTCCACTCACTTGCCCAGTCATCCATCCATCTTTCCACTCACTTGCCCAGTCATCCATCCATTCACCCATCTGTTCACCTGCCTATCCATTTACAGACTCTTCCCCGCAGTTACCTAGTCACTTCCTAATAGCTGCCTTGCCCTCTTTTAGGCACTGAGATTCAGTGAGGCACACATAGGCCGGGTCTCTGTCTTCCCTCATGCAGCTTACAGTCTAATGAAGACGAGCAACAGGAAGGTCGTCAGGCAGTTGCAAACTTGCAGCTGCAAACTGTGGGAGGTTAGAACCAAGGTGGTGAATAATAGGAGTTGCTGACTAGACAGGGAACTGGGAAGGCTTTGGAGAATCGACATTTTAACTGAGACCTGAGGGGATAAGAGTTTCTGGAGAGTGGATCTAGGAGAACATTCTAGAAGGAATTGCCATGGCAAAGGCTCAAGGTGGGCTGGGGCTTGATACTCTCAGAGCCTGGAGGACAGGGGCTGATGGGAGTACTGTGGCAGCAGATAGAAGTTGGAGAAACTGGGGTGAGGTTGGAGTAGGGGTGTTGGTGGCTGGTGCTGACAGATGATCTCTTTCAGCAAAGACCATTTGAGTGCCATCCTGGCCATCAAAGGCAACCTGTCCAGCAGTGAAGTCCGGGGCATTCGGAACATCCTTGACGTTAACATAGGGTCGAGAGAGTCCACTCACTCCCTATTTTCGCTTATAAAGATTGGTTAGCTCTTCCTACCGCCTGACCTGCTTTGAATGTCCATGGGCACCACCTCACTGCAGTCACTGCTACATCGGAGACAGCTCGGTGGCTCCTCACAGGCCTCCATCTCCTGCTGCTGCTTCTGTCCAGCACAGGCCACGACTCAGGCCCCGGGGCAGCTGGAACCACAGGCCCCTGTGTGCCTGTCCAGCGAGGACAGGAGCAGCTATGGCGAGAGCCAACAGGACATCAATGAAGACAGAACCCTTTCTAGATTACAGTTCATCTTATGTGCAGAGAAGGAAGGAACTAGGAGGTAGTGTGTGGCCAGGGCTTGGGGATCTCTGGACATCCTTCCAGCTCCCTGAGGCTGAAGCTGAATCTCATCATCCTCTTCCTCCAGCCCCAGGCTGGAGCTTTGCCGTGTCTGTGGACAGAAGATTTGAGCAGGGCCTGGAAAGGTTTTTAGATGCTGCACATGGGGGAAGGGGGGGACTATGGGGTCAAAGAGTGAGCTGGGGGGAAAATCAGCATCACAGATCCCTCTAGATTGCCCTCTTGGGAGACCGCCTACCTAAGTGTCTTTCCACCAAGATGGTTCTAAGTGGCCTTGAAGCCATTACAGCGGGGCCTCGGCCTCCCATGTTCTCAAGATCACCTGGGCACAGCCCTCTGAGGCTCTCCCCGGGCTCTGCACTAAAGCTACCCTCTGCAGAAAGTCCGAGATGAGGGTTGGAGGAAGTCAAGCTTGCCCTCTAACCCCTGAGATTCTGTATGAGTTTCCTACTGCTGCTGTAACAAACTTAGTGACTTAGGAAGAGCTCATTTTCTCACATCTTAGAGGTGAGGACTCTGAAATGGGCCTTGTAGGGCTAAAACCAAGATATTAAGGTCGTGTCTCTTCTGGAAGATCCAGAGGAGAATCGGACTGTGAGCCTTTTCCAGCTTCTGGAGGCTGCGTGCATCCTTTGGCGTGTGGCCTCCTCCCACCTTCAAAGTCGGCAGGGTGAACTCGGTCCTCACGCCACCTTTCCTCTGGCCCCTTCTTACATGTTTAAGGATCCGTGTGATGACTTTAGGTCCTCCTGGATAACCCGGGGCCCTCTCTTGTTTTAAGGTCACCAGGTGCCACTGGATTGATTCCAATTTATAAGACAGAGAACAGGCCCTATAAGGTTTTCTCAGCTGCAGAAAGTCTTAATGGAAACAGATGACCAGGTTTTCTATCTCATAGAACTGTTGGTAGATTCCATCAGTCAACTTTTCAGTGGTGTTCAGATGCTCAACCACTGGGCCACTGGGGCTCCTTGGTTACCTGACTAGCACCTGACTCTCACTCTTGGTATGAAATCTAACAGCCACAGGTTCTAGGGAAGAGGATCTGGATCTTTCAGAAGAAAGACCTTCATCTTGTTCCTGTCCTCTGGGACCCTCACCCAAGTGGGGGTCAGCACTGGGGATTCCTCCTAAGCCTCTGCTTACCCCCAAGGCTCTGTTGGTCTCTGAGCTCCCTGCCACCCCAGGAGGGGTTGGCCTGCCCCTGAGGATGCCATGGGGGACCCAGGGGCCAGTGTTCTTGGGGCTGCCCCTTCTTCCCGGTACTGCCTGTCAAAACTTCAGTCTGGACCTGGCCTTGGTAATGGTGCACAGAGGCCACTGTCTGTAAGGTGTTTGTGTGTTTTATGTTAATTATTATTTTGTATAGTACTTCTTTTATATGAGTGTACTCAGGAATCTGAGTTTCTATAGCTTGATATAAAGCTGATTTTAAACGTGGTTATCGTGTGGCTTATTTGAGGAGCTGTGAACCTGGGGTGAACCTGGCCTTCTCATGTTCTGAGTCCATCCCCAGACTGGCCAGTCCCGAAGGCCTCTGGGACCCCCCTCCCCTCTGAGACCGAGCTCGATGGGCCCGCCTTCGGCCTCACCAGTCGCTTCCTTCATCTGTGCCTCAGTTTCCTCATCTGCAAATCCCAAGTTGTGATCCTATCACTGCTGCCCCTCCCAGCCCTCTAGTGAGGATGACGGAGGTGGACCCTGCACCATCTGGCCACTCAGAGGTGTGGGCCCAATGGGACCGGCTTCTGTGCCTCTAAAATGCCCCCTCGGAGCAGGGGCCTGACCTGAGGACCGTGTCCAGGGGTGCACAGGTCACCACGAGGGCCTGTGCCATTCCACTGGCGCTTTGGGGGAGGGATCCTCCTCCTCCTCCTCTTCCCAACCCCATTCTGTGCAGTGATCCGTGGAGCCTGCCATCCTGGGGAGGGAGGGCTTGTTGTTAGGTGCCATCAAGTTGAGTACGACTCATAGTGACCCGATGAACAACAGAGGTGAACCCTGTCCTATCCTGTGCCGTCCTCACAATCGGACACACGTGAGCCGGTTGCTGCAGTCACTGTGCCAGACCACCTCATTGAAGGTCTTCCTCCCTTGCTGACTGTCCACTTTCTCAAGCATGATGTCCGTTTCCAAGGACTAGCCTCTCCTAGCAATGTGCCCAAGTATGAGAGACGAAGAAGTTTCTCCATCCTTGCCTCCAAGGATCATCTGACTGCACTTTTTTCAAGTCCTATCGTCAAGGGAGGGGCTACACCCCACAAAGCCGAGGAAGGTTCTCACATGGAAACCATGAATGCAGTCTAGGGTCCTGTCTGGAGGGACAAGGAAGGGGCTTCATCCAGGAGTTGGGGGGCCTGGAGGCCATTGTAGAAATATAAATGAGTGTGAGAGAATGGCCAGGCTTGTGCAGAAGGACCAGAATGATGTGTCTGGGCATGCTGGTCCTGTGGGGGTATGGTCTCTGGGGGGTAGTGAGTCCTGGAGGTCCAGAGGTCTAGAGACCTCACAGGCAGAGGTCACACGGCCTGGGCCAGCATCTGCCCATTTGTACAAGGATGGGCCCCTGTGGACACAGTCATGGGACAAGGAACATGGACATGTCATTGCCCCTGCCACCACCTGGTTGGCTGGGGTGTGCTGTGGGGCATAGCGTCCACCAGAGTAACCCACCCCCACTCCTTTCAGGGAAGTTCACAGAAAACATGGCCAGGACATGCTAAGGCAGCTTAGGTGTGAGTAGCTGTAGCAAGGGTGCCAGAACGGGGGCATGCTGTGGGTGATCACAGGGGCACCCCACTCAGCTGTGAAGGTATGGGGGACTTCTATGGAGGGAAGAGGCGCCAACTGAGCAAGGCAGGTCAGGACAGTACAGGTAACAAGTGGAGGGGGAAGGGTGGACATGGATGGGGTTCAAGGTGGGAAGAGAGGCTGAGAGCTGGGAAGAGTGGTAGATGGGAGACCTATCAGAGTCGCAGGGGGTTCCAGGGGAGAAGACCTGGTCCATGGGGACTGGGATGACAGAGGTGAGACACAGTCGGCTCCTGAGAGAGAGCTCACAGGCCATTTTCCACCTCTGAGGGGGTGTCAGTGAAGGAGTGATTCCAGACTAGGGGGGCACCCTGTACCAATGGGAAGACTTGAGGAGCTTGGTCAAGTTCACTTCAGAAGGGGCACGTCATTCTCTGGGGCAAGGCTGTGGGTGTCCAGGCACCATCTTCACTGCTCTGGTGGTGGGTGGAGTTTGCATGGCTCCTGAGGGGCAGTGTGACATCACCAGCCAGGTGACACATGCACACACCTTTGACCCAGCAATTCCCCTTCTAGAAGCTCATCTGACAGTCATTCTGACATATGTGAATGGCTTTGGCATCTGTGCAGAACCTACCAGGAGAGCCCAGAAGAGCAGCAGGATATGGGGACTCCCCAAGTCCCTTCCAATGAAGATGGGTTAGAGCACCCACACCCTGGAACAGCTCACAGGAGATAGAATCCTGGCCGCCCATAGGGTTTTCAAAGGTAGATAGCCAGGCCTTTCTTCCTAGTTTAAGTCTGGAAGGTCTTCTGAAACCTGTTTAGCATCATTGTGACATGTAAACCTTCACGGATGGATGGTGGCTGTAGGGAGGTGCATTGGGGAGCTGAACCCTGGGATCTCCTGCAGGAAAGGGAAGAATTCTACCACTGACACACCACCACCCTCTTGTGGAGGGCAAAAAAGCAAAGGATGTGCAAGCTCTCGGTTCTCTGGGAAGGGGTTCCACCATACAAGGAACGTCAAAGGGACAAGGCTGTGCCGAGTGGGGTGTGCCGCGCCCACAGAATGGACGCAGGAAAGGTTGTACCTGGATGTGACTCACGTGTGTGAACCAGGCCGTCGGGAAGAATACATCGAGAGTACACAAGACACCCCAGGACTGCCAAGAATACATATGGTCACAGAGTCTTAGTCCACTCAAGGGCACTAAAACAATCAAGAATATAAAGGAGTGTGTGTGTGTGTGTGTGTGTGTGTGTGTGTGTGTGTGTGTGTGTGCACGTGCTCACGTGCACATGTACCGGAGGAGGAAGTTCGCAGTAGGAACTGGGCTGGAGACCAGACGGACAAGGAGCATCTGCTATTTTTCCGTGCTAGATCTGATTATGAACCCACTGATCTGTGTAATTGTGGTATTAGAATTTTCTGTACCATTTAATTGTAAAGAAAGCAGATATTTCCACAGATTGGAGGAGAGAGGGGCTGACAAGACTGGATATTTTGGGTGGGACCGTCTCAAAGGTTGCTGCTGTTAGTGCCCTGTAGTTTTACTCCAGCCAAGATCATCTGCTCCGATGTGCTTTGGTGGCCTGGGGTCACTGGACAAGGCTTAACCAAGGACAAATGAGGCCTCTAGAGAAGATGAGAACCCCAAAGATCTGAGGGGTCACCAAGTTAGGGGAAGTTCTAGCAAAGGACCCTGGAGTTTTACTGGCCAAGAGGGTGGTGGGGACAAAGATTCAAGGGACTTTGGTCACGGGGCCCTGTTGTTATTGTTGTGTACCCAGGGCGGGGGGCTAGGCTCTATGAGGAGAAGTGTGGCCTCAGGATCGGAGGTAGACTCAACAACAATCTGCGTTGTGCAGATGACACAACCTTGCTTGCTGAAACTGAGGAGGACCTGAAGTGCTTGCTGCAGAAGGTCAAGGACTG